AGCTGCACATATCACAGATACAAAAAGATGTTTCTTATTCTTGTGTGGGATTCTCCTACATAACATGAACACTTCTGTAACATAAACTCCAACAACATTTTCCTCTTCTAGTCACAGTTAGTAGATTTTATTTCTGAAAAAAATTGATAAATGTCTCCATAACGCCTTTCATACAGACTAGAGAGTATTACAGACAAAATAAACCAGACGAACTGAAAAGATAGGAATACAGTTTCTTCAGTACAGCGTTGTTTTTAAAGAAAGATTATTTCTTCAATCTGAAATACTTTGGAAATGTAAACTGAAACAGCTTATTCAGAAGATATCAGGGAAAATTCTCTTACCAATTTCCCCAAAACGTGTCAAAGAGGGCATGGTGTTCCAATAATGCTTACTTCCATCATAGATAATTCTTAGTTTTCACACTGTGATCTGAGGAAACATTAAGCCTAAAATTCTAGGTGCACTTACTTTAAACAGTAGTCCTTTTTGAACTGATCAAGCGTTAGAGGATCTGCAAGGTTGACTCCATACAGTCAGTTCTCCCTGTGATGCAAAACTATAGGCAAATAACTATTTAACCCTATCTTCCTCTGTGTGAAAAAGAGCAGCAGAGGCTTTGGCATGTCCTTCTACAATCATCTGCCTGCCTCTTGGGTTGTACCAAGACCAGTTCTGATGCAGCTGCCTAGATTGGAAGAGAGGGGGATCACAGGTAAAGGGTTCTTTCTCTGTCTGGATTCAGACTTTGTGCAAAGCCATGGTTTGTTTTTGAATCAGGCAGAGTGGGCTGGTTCACCCAATCCTAAGCCATAAAACATGGTTAATAAATCACAACAGATGACCTCATCGATCCTGTCAAACCAAACCCGAGCAAGACGAGTTGTAGCTTAGCACCATGCCTGAATCCAGCCACTGTGATGCAGCTTGGGAGATAGTGGCTGGGGGGATAGTTTAAAAAGTGCCTGAGTAAATTATTGCTCTTGGGATCAGCTGGGTAATGGGCTCTCCAGTTGCCTGTCTCTAATATATGATAACTGAAGGAATACTAAATAAATAAATAAATATTAAATAAATAAATATTAAATAAATAAATAAATATTAAATAAATAAATATTAAATAAATAAATATTAAATAAATAAATAGGTTTTTTTTAATGGATGGCAAAGCCCACTGTATATTAAATAAATTCTTGGCACAAGAGCAAATCTCATTAATATTTGGCTTAGCTTTATTAACATAGTAGCAAGGTTTATAGTCTCAATACAATTGCAGCAGTTGGTAAATTCATATATAAATTCATGCATATTGATTGATTGTGTTCTTCCTTTCTGGGATAAGCAACATTATATAGACCACAGATGAGTAAGAAATCATAAGCCAAAGGAATTATAGGCATGAGATGAGAAAAAGAAACATACCTAAAACTGGTTTATATCAGTTTGTAGGCTTTCCATTTTTCAACATTCTCACAGCATTTATGACTTCCTTTTCATCTATTTTCAGCAGTTTCTTTTTCTCTTTAGGCTACGTTGCTTGCAACTGTCGTCTTCTCTGTCTTAACCTCATTTTTTGCAATAGTTATGCTCTAATATGCAGTCCTTTATCCAGAGCCTCTTTCACTGCAACAGTTCCATTGAGCATCCTTATTTGTACTGGTCTTTCATATAGCTCCACACACTTCTGTACCACAGTGTAAAATCATTCTTTTCACTCTGCTCACTCTGTTCCAGTTTCTACATCTTCTTTCCTTATGTCCATATTATGTTGGGAGGTTAATCGTTTTTTTATTTGTTTGTTTTTTGCGCCTAAGGTGGGACTAGAACTCCCAGTCTCCCGGTTGCCTAACCTGGTGCCTTAACCACTAATACAGGATATGTACATTCTCTTCCTACTCTTCTACTTTTATTCTTGTTCCTTTCACTTCTTTCCTCTTCTTATATGTCCATTTTTTTCTTTCATCATAATCAGTCAAATGAATCACGCTTTTAAAAATATATTCATTCCACTGCCATGTGTACATATGAATAGACTTATCCTTAAACTATATATTTGAAACAGGCCTTTTTCTAAACAGATACTTACCAACAATCACCATTCTTATTCATTCTTGGATTCTCTGAATGACCCAGTCACTTTTTCTGAATGATCTTTCCTTATTCTCACATATCCACCTAGCAGTTTTCTGCCTGGGTTGCCTTCATTCAAAATAATGCATTTTTTTCCTTAGAACTCATCTCTGGTTCTTTCATTATCACCATTCAGTGAGTGTCACATACAGTTATCGCCAAACTACGGATTTCTACATTTATTTGCATACATAGCAACCTAGATGACACCAGTACATACTTTCTGACATACATTTTAGCTGTTCCATTCATAATTAAGCCTCCCCCCTCAGTTTCCTGAGTTTCCTGGAGAGTTAGTTCCACACCACAAGCACTGAATACCTTCATTCAGATCATTCATTAATTCATGCTCTTTGCCATTTATGGATATTACATTCAAAGTCACAATCCTCCATATACCATAACTGCCACCAGATGAGCTTTGACATTAACGTTAACTTTTGCCTGTCATGTCTTTGGTCATCTGAGCTTTCTTATAACGCTTTTCAGTAAGATAAAGGAAGTGTAGACTAGGCTGCCATTTTTGGTCATAGCCGTGCCACATGCAGCATTCCCTGCAAACTGAAGAGACCACACCAGTCACTTTTAGCACCCCTGGCTTTTATATAAATTCAGTTGTTTGTAATGACTTTCTGCAAAACTTGCTCTTTTCATGCATCCTGATAGTGAAGGAATATCAGACTCAAAACCATAGATTATTGATCATGTATGGTGGCTCCTTACAGAGACGGCTCTGTGGTCATTAGGAGTCTTTACCTTTGATGCATGGCTTCCCAGGAGCAGTAAAAATGAATGTAGATTTGGTGTGTTGCAAAAATGACAGGGTGACCCTAACCCTCTTCCCCTGCCTTCTTCTATTCACAAATTAAAGCTGACACCATACTGAGGCTTTTGCTTAAACTGGGAGTTGGCAATCCATGGTCCATTGACCATCTGGAGCCCTCAAATCCCTTTTTTGCGGAGCCCTGGGAAATTGCACTGCAGAACACTGACAGCCCAAAGACACAATAGCACAATTTCCCAGTTTCTAGGGATCCTTGGTTAAATCACTGGATCTGAGATACCATTTTGGTGAAGTATGATGTATGTACTGTAGGTGGCATATTTATATCCCCCCTTTCCTCAGGAGCTCCAGGAAGCATACTTAATACTCCCTCTTCCCATTTTTCCCCACCACAACCCTGTGAGTAAAAGTAGGTTGGGCTAGGGAGAGTGACTGAGAGAGAGCTGAGATGTCCCTCAGCTTTTCAGACTTTTTTTCCCCATGTTTATGATATATGCATCAACAGTAGTTTTAATATTTTTCTTCAACTGAAAGTATTGAAATCACTTTTTAGAAAAGGATTTTTCTACCCTGCTGAGAAAGTTGTTTGCTCAGAAGAAAGTACTGATGGAGCTGGGGGGAGGGGGGATTTCCAAAGAAGCATGCTAAGGATTGCAAGCTTTAAGGCATGTCCAGACTCACCCAGGTCACAGGGTACATCTGCTGCCAGAGTTGGGACACCCAGGGCCAATGAGATGTTTGCATATGTCACCGAGGAAGTTAAACGTTGACACAAGCCTCTCCTCCTGAGTCTAATGATATTACAGTTGATAGAGCATTGCTGCTATTTTAAAAACCATTTTTGGGCAGGAAGGCAGGGTAGTACTAGCTGGTTCAAAGTAAACAGAGCCAAACAAGTTTTTATTACATAAAGGTGTAAAGTCCATGCATGCTAGAATTCCAAGTTCAAATGAAATATCAAGGCAAACACAGTCGGCTTTCTATGTTTGTATGTAGGCGTGTGTGTGTGTGTGTAGTTCTAATCTTGATATAATGATATGATATGATATATGATATGATATGATGATCATATATCATATCATATCTTTGGTGTTCTAATTAAGCAGTTGCCTACTTTAAAGCTGGTATTATATATGGCCAAAAAGTATGTGTTTACTTGTGGCCTTGGAAAGGCATTGCTTTCCTGCTTCTGTCTCTCCTGTTTTCAAATTGGTATATGGAGTGTGTATTCTTACTTTTCAGGATTATTAATAAGATCTAGTCTGATCCTACTTCAAATATGAGTATTTTACAGTTCCAGACTTGGGGACCAGACGTTGGATTTTCTCCTTTCTAGTCTACTCTACAGCCCTGGGATTTCTTTGTGGTTTGTCCAACTAATAACCGGATCCAGTTCCCCATGGCTGTCTTGGCACAACTACCTATCACCATCTTATCACACTTTTTTCTACTTGATCTTTTATTGGGGATCTCAGGCAAAGATCAAGGGGACCATATTTTGTAGAGTGACAGCAGCAATAATGCTTTTGTAGGAGAATGAATTTAAGTGACATTCAAAAAGGTTTCTGAACATACAGAAAGTATACACCCTCAATCAGCAATCAGCCATAATTGTACCTCATTTTAGGGGATGGTTTTCTAGCTCAGAAAGTGTGACTTTCAAAAAGGCAACTAAGTAATATCCACATTGAATGTAACCTACAGGAAGTTCTCCCGCACAATTCCCACTAAAATTAATTTTACCATACTAGTGGTGGTAAACTTCTTGGTACATTATGCCTCTTGTTTTGCTGATTATTTATTCCCTCCCTAGATTTATTTAATCCCCTTCCCCCAGTGAAAAAATATAACATACCACTCCATAAATAAAAAAGAACTTCACTAAAAATCAAAAGATTTGCAAACATTGATATAGGTATCCGTTGCTTTAAAAAATCTTTAAAGAAGATTTTTGTGTCAATCCAAAGTTTTTGAAGGTTTGTGGCTCTGTTCATCATTTTTCAGGATGTAAATTTAATTGTAGTGATGGAACTTTATTTTGTAAATACTGAATCTCACTCTTTTTCCTCTTTCTTTTTAATTTCAGGCTTTACAATGGTTGATACCGAAATGCCGTTTTGGCCCATAAGCTTTGGTATTAGCCCAGTCGATCTTTCTACAATGGATGAACACTCCCATGCATTTGACATAAAGCCCTTCACCACCGTTGATTTTTCCAGCCTTTCTTCTCCACATTATGAGGACCTTCCTCTTGCAAGAACTGACCAGATAGCCCTTGACTACAAATATGATGTGAAATTTCAAGATTGTCAAAGTATGTAAGCTTTTTATGGCTTGATTGTTTTAGTCCTTGGAGGAGCATTCCAGATTTTTTATTTTCAGCTTTAGTTGAAATCAAACACTATCGCTTATAAATTAACTAGTGAACAGCTTTAGACCAGGGGTTTTCAGACTTTTTCAGGTTGTGAAACCTGTAGGTTAAAAAAAAAATTCCCAGGACCCCTGATCAGGAGGCAAAGCTCAAATGATAGAAAATTGGCTGCATTCAAGTGAACTTCTTTTTTCCTTAAGCCTGTCACAAAATCCCATCAAGTGAACACAGTTTGAAAAACCTTGCTTTATACAATCTGGGATACAGAGGAGTATGTATTCTTCCATGATAGAAGACCATTGATTGATTGATTGATTGATTGATTGATTGATTGGGGGTTGATAATTTACACCATATTGTAAATTCGTGTTGTGGTGTTGTTTGCCATGGCATATCAGCAAACTGAATTTAAGGCCTGTAGGACCTGCCAAAAAAACATTTTAGCAATCAATATATATCCTAAGTTATGTCTTCTAAATGAAAAATCAAAGTTATTGACTTAAAAGACTTGTACTCTTGATTCTCTAACTTTGATTTTTGTATTTGCACCCCATCCACACTCCTTTGGGATTGGAGTGGGACGTGAAAATCAAAGTTAGAGAATCAAGAGTACAAGTCTTTTAAGTCAATACGTAAGGGAGCCACTGTTCCTTAATCAATTGGGGCTGAAGCCTCCTGAAACAGCAACTCATTTAGTTGTTTTGGGAAAGGCTAACAAGGTAGGGGCCATGGGCAAATGTTCATGGAGCTGCCACAAAGCCTGTCACCCACATATCTCTAATGGAGGGAGTGCTGTCCTCAGCAGGCCTTCTCTAAATGCCTGCACTGGGTGGACAGATTCAATTCTGGCAAGTCAGAAGATGAAATCTAGAAGATCTGACATTATCTGCTTAGAATTCACAGGAAAATAATTTAGTACCGCCTGCTGAAAGATACTCTAAGAAGCAGCATTAGATTTATAATTCTTTTTTTTACCTTTTATGGTTTACCATACAACAAATACTTTTTGTTCTTGGAATTAATGTGCACCAAAGCAAAGATTGTGTAACAAATCTGTGTAATATATGAGGCAGTATTGGGGAACCAAGCAATCTGGTTTCTGCTTCACAGTTGTAGAACTGTAGGGTTTTTTCTCACTCAGAGCACAGCCTTTAAAGAAGGATATGACTGCTGCAACACAGTCTTCCTATTCTAAAGTATTACATGCATCAATCTCTAATATGAAGTCTGGAATTTGGAGGCATAATGGCTTGGAATTTAAATAGCACCCCAAACCAGCAGCTTAATGGCATCCTCCTTTTGAAAGCCCAGCTTCAGCCAACGCCACACTTGGTTTTATGAACTGTGGCATGTATGAGATGCTTAACTTGACACCAATATGTTTATCATGCTGGACGATTATTTCATAGCAATTTTTGTAGCAATCTGTACCAATTGTACAGATGTAATGATTCATTTTGAAAGACCCTATACATATGTTAAGTGTATAGAAATTCTAAAAGATACAGTTCCCATGTTGCAGTAAAGGGGGCTAGCCTGAGAAGTATCAGCAAGATATGTGGCAAATCTTAACTTGCGCATCCTTCCCCTGGACACCAGCTTTCTCAGTAGTTGCTTCACAGAAATTATTGTTTGTTTGTTTGTTTGTTTGTTTAATATGCTACCCATCTGCCCCAGTTTGCAAGCTGGACATACTGTACTATGTTTGCTATAGCTGAAACTGTGTTTTGAATTGGATTTCAAATTACATTTTAGAAACATAATATAATTTGTGGCAACCAATGTTTTACTTTGGTTTCTTCCACTAGAATGGCATACGATAAATCAAGAAGTATAAAATGGAAAATGGACTCAGAATGCATTTGAGGAAGAGAGAAAAGGAAGGCTGTTTGTGCTGGGGGATATAGGAGGGTGGGGAGGCCTAAAGCTCATTCATGAGAATCAGACCACAATCTGGTCAATGAATTGTTTAAGGTCTTTTGGGAGTTTATACCTGAGATAGCTATCAAGCAATGCTAGTTAATAATTCAGACTCCCAATCTTTGTCTCCAGTAATTAAGTATATCTAGCTTTTACATATTTTTTTAAAATTCTGAATTTTGAATCCATTCAGATTGATAATGCTAATTAAAGATAATTGGCAATAATCAGGGGGCTAGTTAATTCTTCTTTTGAAATCTTCCTCTTATTCAGATGCAATCAAAGTGGAACCTCCATCTCCACCATATTTCTCAGAAAAACTTCAGATGTACAGTAAACCTCATGAAGAAGCCTCTAGTTCTCTCATGGCTATTGAATGCAGAGTGTGTGGGGACAAAGCTTCTGGGTTTCATTATGGAGTGCATGCATGTGAAGGCTGCAAGGTAGGTAGTTATATCAATGCATGATTCTTTTTAAAAATATTGGTTTATCATTTAAAATCCTGTCAGCCCTCACCATCATATCAATAGTCAAAGATAACAATTCCAGTTCAGCAACTTCAGGAAGGCCACATACTTCTAGTTTATTTCTTTTCTAATAGACATGCTACTTCTCATTATTTTGTATTAATAGAGCATAAAACATCATCTGTTCTGAGTTAGTTTCAACTAGAAATTTTCTTATCTCTTTTAACTAACTGGCAAATGACAGTAAGGAACATACATTTCTAAAAGCCTACTTTATGAGCTAACTCTGTTTTTAAATCAAATCTTTAGAATTGTTGGAAGAAAGCAGCTATATTGGTAAATGTTCAGTTTTTATTTGCTTGCTATCTCAGACTAAATGAAGGGGCAGTTGAAAGCTGAAGTGTAATGTTCTAACAAGACAAATATATTTCAAACAGGAAGTAAGCCAAAATAAGAGAATGTTTCTCATGTACTCCAAGCCTGTGAGATAAATACAACTCTTTGGGATATGCCACTATAGACCCCCAAAGCATGTTCGGCCTTAACATTTTG